TGAAGATGGTGATAGGATGGCATGGACCAGTCTATCACACCAGTCTATCACACCCAATAGTACTTCATACGACCACACAAATTGCACGACGAAGGTCAGCTAAAGATGGCGATAGGATGGCATGGACCAATCTATCACACCCCATAGTACCACATACGATCACACAAATTGCACGACGAAGGTCGAGGATGTGAAGACATTGCGATTGCGACTGGTCTTTTCAAAATAAGATGTCCACAAGTAAGCCGACATGTAACCTTTGGAGAGAGATGGATATGTCGGCGTGGCTCTAATAGGGAATGACACAGACAACAAATGCAATCCACATTAAAGCGACATACTATCTATTCAATCAGGACTACATTGTGTATACGTTGGCGTTAGCAACTCAAATATGTTATTATTCTTATGAGGAAGTACTCAGACAACAAATGCAATCCGCACGGAAGAGACAAACTATCTATTCAATCAGGACTACATTGTGTATACGTTGATGTTGGGAACTCAAATAATTTCATATTCTTATGAGGAAGTACACAGACAACAAATGCAATCCGCATGGAAGAGACATACTATCTATTCAATCAGGACTACATTGTGTATACGTTGGCGTTAGCAACTCAAATAATCTGGCAATGGCCGGGGTGTGTTTCATATGTAAGATCTCATCGAACTGAAACATCGCTGTGAGGCATTCAACAACATATACAGTTTGATATTGTATTGAACAACATATACAGTTCAATATTCAGTATTCAGACGGAGAACGCTGAGTGTATTAGATATACACATAGAACACGTCGACCAAGCGCATAAGTGGGCTCCATACACTCGGATATGCGCGATACAATATATATATAAGACGACAACCATGCTATCGCGGATACAATATATATATATATAAGATGACAACCATGCTATCTCGGCGGAACTACATAAGGATGTTTGTACATTTACCATCGACCCGACTATTGATCGATAAAGACTCCTTACCTTCCCCCGTACTGCTTCACCAGCTCCTTCGCATCATCGCTGGATATGGTATCCATGATACCGGAGAATACAAAGGTCGTATCGACAAAGCACATGTCCTTGCACGTGGGAATGTCTCTAGTGCCTGGGCGATTGTGAATGAGAGCAGTTCAGTTTCGAAGCGTTGCTTTCGGATTAAACAGCTGATCAGCAGCGTCATTGTGCGATCAAAAAAAGACTTGTCAGATAAGTGACCAGATCACAACAGAATCGTTCGCTTAACCACATGCAGTGTGCACGTACCCACAAGCAACAAAAACTAAGTTTATAACAACGCTATAAAAAAAGTCAGATAAGTGACCAGGTCACAATAGAAATGTTTGTTTAGCTACATGCAGTGTACATACCCACAAGCAATAAAAACTAAGTTTATAACAACGCTTAAAAAAAATTGCTAGATAAGTGACCAGGTCACAATAGAAACGTTCGTTTATTAGCTACATGCAGCGTGCACGAACCCACAAGCAACAAAAACTAAGTTTACAACAACGCTTAAAAAACTTGTCAGATAAGTGACAAGGTCAGAATATAAACGTTCGTTTAGCTACATGCAACGTGCACGTAACATGCACCAAGGTACAGCCACTCATTAAGTGGCCCCACAAGCAACAAAAACCAAGTTTACAACAATGCTTCAACTGTTACTGTGCGTGCGTACAAACTCTCCACACGAACACACTCGCCGGGAGATTTCGCTTACCCAATGCTTTGGGGCCCTCCCTGTTCATCATGGCTCGGAAGTGAGACTGTTTGCTCGCAGCCTTGGCCTCATTCTCCTCCTCTGTGAGCACGTGTGCGGGTTTTGCGTTGCTTTGATCTTTACTCATGTGTGTATCTAATAGTGCATAGAACCCATCCTCATCAATTACCTGCGGTCAAGTGTAGGTTGCGATAATAGTATCAGACGATGACTACAATACCAGCAGTCAAGTGTAGGTTGCGATGCTAGTATCAGACGATGACTACAATACCAGCAGTCAAGTGTAGGTTGCGATGCTAGTATCCGACGATGACTACAATACCAGCAGTCAAGTGTAGGTTGCGATGCTAGTATCAGACGATGACTACAATACCAGCAGTTAAGTGTAGGTTGCGATGCTAGTATCCGACGATGACTACAATACCAGCAGTTAAGTGTAGGTTGCGATGCTAGTATCAGACGATGACTACAATACCAGCAGTCAAGTGTAGGTTGCGATGCTAGTATCAGACGATGACTACAAAACCAGCAGTTAAGTGTAGGTTGCGATGCTAGTATCCGACGATGACTACAATACCAACAGTAAGTGTAGGTTGCGATGCTAGTATCAGACGATGACTACAATACCAGCAGTTAAGTGTAGGTTGCGATAATAGTATCAGACGATGACTACAATACCAGCAGTCAAGTGTAGGTTGCGATGCTAGTATCAGACGATGACTACAATACCATATGCTATTATACCTGAATGCCATACGCCCACCAGTCCTGAAAAATAAATCAGGTTGGCTCATAAGTCCAACTAGGGGCCTCTACGACAATTGGTTCGCAGAAAACTACATGCCGACCCAAGTTACCATTGTGAATCAATCTCCGATGGGGAGAGAATATAAGACTAAATCATGTGCACTCGCATACACCGTGGTCACATATCCACTGAATGTAAATTATATAACATCTGGCAGAGCTATATTTAACTATACCTTGCATCCAACCTCCTTAGCTTTGGCGACTTTTGTCTCGCCACCATCTCTGCCGCTCACCAGATACGAGGTCTTGCCGCTAACACTGCCAGTGACTCTGAAGCAGGAGGTGTGTGGTCATAAGTGGTGATAGGCCGTTCCGCAGAGATTCACGGTTTCATGTATGCAAACTATTTATCGAAACAAGCATTTCATTACCATTGCCTTCTAAATTATACTGAAGGCTATGTCATTATTCATATAAAATTGGCACGACGAATCCAACGTCGAGGCGAGGACAGGACAAATGTCTACATAGTCCCAATTTAAAGAGGACAGGATAAATGTGTACATAGTCCGAATTTAAAGAGGACAGGATAAATGTGTACATAGTCCGAATTTAAAAGGATTGTCACTACAGACAATCAGTGAACACAAATGGAACAGAACTACGAGCCGATTTGCTGCGCAGGTTACGAACACACCTGCCCCCGTGGCTAGTAACCAGTTCGGTATAATCGAGTTTTGAAATTGTGTCCAGAACTCCAGAGAAGCAGAACGTCAACCCACTGAAACAGCCGGTCTTCAGTGCTGGAATAGCCCGGGACCCTAGTCACGGCAACACAGCAGTGCATGGTAAGCAGAGGTTGTTGATTCGTGTGAGAGGACATTCAGAACAGACCTAGTGTGACATGGACTGGTCTCATGCGAGAGTGTGCGTCGCCAGCCCTCTCAGCTGGCGATGGATGCTCTCGAGTCAAAGGTAAGCGAAGGCGAATCTGAGTGATACGCACCCGCCGAGCCACAGCACAACTTCACATAACAACCAGTACTAGCATCATACTCTGGGCAGTACTAACCCACACATACCTAGAGCATTCGGTGGCTCCCTGGCCATCATTACCTGGTACCCACTCTTCTTCGGGGGCTCTGGTTCGTCCACATCCATCGTATCCACCGCAGCCGGCTTGGCAGGCTTGTCGACCTTCATCTTGCGCGACGCCTTCTCCGCCTTCTCCCGCTCTTTGTTGTGTTCCTTGACCATGCGCCTGGCCTTGTTCGCCTGCGACGGCATAGCCAGTTGCTTGCACAGCACAAACTCGTCGATCACTTCCACCTGCGCCTCCTCCGCCACCTTCACCATCGCTGTATCCGGGTCTGTACCCACCACACAGTACCGTGCCACAGCAAAGTTGTCCATCGTATCTGCAAGCAACCGCCCGTCCTTCTCCTCAACAAGATCCCGTATATCACTGGTGCTGCTGAATGTGTTCATCTTCCCAGTGATCACATACGTCTTCCCCGCAAGTGCACCCGCTTTCTTGGCCCTCTTAGCGGGGGCAGGTGCAACAGATACTGGTGGTGTGGGCGACTTCGCGCGCTTGCGTTTGGGGGCAATAACCTCAGCATCATCATCGCCATCTAGATCTATCATCTCGGCTTCTACTTTAGCCTTTTCGGAATCGAATTCCGCTTTGGTTGAATCGGTTTTGGACTTTCCTCCTTTCTGGGCCGATTTGTGTGCAGATTTGACCTTGCTACCTCGTTCAACGGGTTTGCTACCAAAGAAGTCTTCGGGATTGACTGTGGATTGAGGTCTACTTTTCTTGGGCTCGACAAAGTGCTTGCTTACTGTCTTGACTGGTGTATTTCGCGTTGAGCGTCTTTTGCTGTTAGGAATAATATGCTTGACATGATTAGAGTTGGTGTTCAAGTGACTTGGGTGCAGACGGATTATATACGAATATAGGTGTGTTGTATCAGAATTTCCAAATTCAATTTATACCATGGACTCGATCTAATACGAATCAGCTCGAGGTGGAAAGTAACCACAATTGAATACCTGGAACTTCGTACTGGTAGTGTAGTTGATGGTGGCCACGAAACAAGTGATATTCCACAGCAGATGACCTGATAATATGAACACAGTTGCAAATCACACGAAGATTGCTCTGGCATAAACCATTGTGCACATACACGAGCACACACACATACAAGTCGCATAATCTCACGCAGCCAGACATACTTGCAACACGTGAACACGCACATAGCACGCACTGGCACGTACTACATATTAAATGTATATACATATATATTATATATATATATATATATATATATATATGTATGTATGCATGTATATATATATATATATATATATATCCTTACCAGTTCTTTCTCGCCCACATCTGTGAGTAAGTGTATGTCCTCTGGTAGGTAACTGCTTTTCCAGCTCTTCATCCATTCGAGTTCCGATTTAGTAGAAATTCGGTTGATATTGGCTTCTGTGTGATACAGGCATGATTTGGATAATGATACATATGTGTTCAGCACAAAGGCTCGCCACTAAGAAGGAAGGATTATCGATTACAACACGGAGTTCATGTGAATGCAACTATACAGGTTGTGCTTTGAAGCTCAATTTGCGTATGACACTCTCTATACAAATGTACATACGAGGAGTGACACACAGACACGTATAATCATACATAGTTGGCATGCGAGTGTGCATAGGTCCAAGTATAAATGAATGATGTATTTGGGAGTGCTTTTCTGTGTATGCACCTATGCTCATATACATACACGTCAAGGTCATCTCAACCCAGATATAAACATACACATCAACGTCATCTCAGCCCAGATATATACATATACATATACACACACCATACAAAATAACATACACATATCATATCATTCATGCGCATTTACACAAGGATAAATCCAAATGAATACACTTTCATATCCATTCAAACCAATGCGCGCGGCCGATACTCATTGATAAGCGGAGATACATAGAAGACAGTTCCTATGCATACACTCTCACGATGCTACCATAAAGCACACTAACGGATCCCATACGCATCGACGGCAAATACTACCCACTGAACTGGCATCGACAATAGCATCCCTTATGACCACTACCTACATACATAACAGGCTTATGCGGTAACTGTGTGGCACCCATTTAGTGCGGCTACACATACAATGACGTACACGGATGGTCCTGATATCTACTACTGATACCTACAACTGGTACCTACTACTGTTACCTATTACTGATACCTGCTACTGATACCTACTACTGATACCTACTACTGTTACCTACTACTGTTACCTACTACTGGTACCTACTACGGTTATCTACTAGTGAGACCTACTACTGATACCTACTACTGTTACCTACTACTGATACCTACTACTGTTGCCTAATACTGAGACCTACTACTGTTGCCTACTACTGATACCTACTACTGTTACCTACTACTGTTACCTACTACTGTTACCTACTAACTCCTGTAGTGAGCTCATCAGTTCGACATCTTTTGGGCCAGGATTGCGTGCGCCGTGCCTGACTACGCCTTGCAGGTGTATGTCTTTGCACTGGTTGAGCTGTTAGTAACAGAGGGGAGACTGTGATTGACTGAGGGTTCGTAGGAATAAAGCATGCACAGCCCATCTATGTAGTACAAATGCAATAGCACGAAAGTCAACCCACACGCAAGTCAACGATGGCATCACTCCTGCATGGAGTACAATTAATATTGTGCTGTTTCCGCGTATCTGACGTCCTGTTCATACTGGACTGTGCGTGTGATACACCCGTACCAGCTCTAATTAAAGCCTCTAAATACGTACCCATGTCTACACACACGCAATGCAGCCATTGTACATACGTACCTATGTCTACACACACGCAATGCACACATACCACTCGTCAATGTGACACGCAAACATATAAACAGATATGCTCCACTCACTTCTCATGAAACCAAACAAGCGATCGGGTACAGTCACAGGCACTTAGCCCACACTCAGCTTACGTATCGCTCGCTATCAAAGCCGTTGTAGAAGTAGGGCGTCTTAGTCGAGAAGTGACGTTCATACTGAAACCCTTCCGATGCATCTGCCGCTGTTGCATGCACGCAGACCACTCCCGAGATATAGAGGCATGCGGTAGTCCAATCTCGGATGCGCATGACGTTTTATTTATATTTGTTTTAAGGTTGGGTGCCGGCACTACCTCTGTGTTGTGTATATGTACACAGTGAATGTATTGCTTCTCTTGCATACACTACTACATATACATATACATGTACATGTACATATACATATACATATACTCATACATATACATACGCGCTTGCTAATTCTTTGTAAAACAGACGGTCTCTCAGCGATGAGATGAACTGATAAACATATTAGGGAAGTTCGGTACAATTTCCCCACTCACCGGCCACTCAGTGGCCAGGCCCCAGCAGAGAATGTCAGAAACTCAAATCACATTTTAAATATCACAGCTGAGTTCTATTATAACTATTATATTAAAAATTGTAGTTATATGGTGTGCATCTGCTTCTAGAAGTGTGCGTGCGTATGGACTCTGTGTGCACTATAGCAACACAGCTAAGATTGTAGGATTCATCAGAGAGTTATATGCTCCTTGTTTAGTTACTATTTATAGATCGCTACTACACTATGGGTAAACGCCACGGAAGAAACAACACGGCCTTGCCGTTCAATACCAATTATGAGAAGGAGCAGATGGGCTACGGTTCCAAAAAGGTATTCGCGTGCTGTTTGGTGTAATGTTGTGGTTATTGTACCGCACATAATGTTCTGGCCGATAAGTGTAT